GTTACCAGAATTTTCAACAGGAGCTTTGTCTCTGTGACCCAGCCTACAGCAGCTAAAATTACCTGGCTTGAAATACCCCTGTCTGGGTTGATCAATGGCCCCATTTGGAGAGAAGTTAAAAGCTGCACAAGAATTGGTTCGAGTACAGCTTCAGGCAGGGTATATTGAACCCACTCACAGTCCATGGAATACGCCCACATTTGTAATAAAGAAAAAGTATGATCAATGGAGACTATTGCAAGACCTGAGAGCAATTAATAAAACCACGGAGATTATGGGGCCCCTTCAGTCAGGGTTACCATCCCCTACAGGTATCCCACTGAAATATCATTTACTGGTCTTAGATCTTAAGGACTGTTTTTTTACTATTCCTCTCCATCACGAAGATTGCAAAAGATTTGCATTTAGTGTCCCTGTGATAAATTTTAAGGAGCCCATAAAGAGGTATCAATGGAAAGTATTGCCTCAGGGCATGGCCAATAGTCCTACCTTATGTCAGGATCTTGTGGCTGCAGCCATACATCCTTTAAGGAACAAATATCCTGAGGTTTCTATTATTCATTATATGGATGACATTCTCTTAGCTCATAAACGCATCTAAAGCAGTGCTCTCAGTGTGTAATTCATTGCCCTGTACAATTGTTGGGATTTAATCCTAGAGGTCTTAAACCTAATCAAACTTGGCAAATGGATGTCACCCTCATACCGGAATTTGGTAAGCATAGATGGGTACATGTTAATGTAGACACCTGCTCCCGCTCTATCTTTGCCACTCCCCAAATGCGAGAGAGTGCCAAGCATGTAATTAATCATTGCCTAGCTGCCTTTGCGGTACTAGGTCCTCCCTTAGAGCTAAAGACAGACGATGGACCCGCATACACTAATTCTGCTTTTCAACATTTTTGTCAGCAATATCAAATTTGTCATAAAACTGGTATCCCTTACAACCTTCAAGGTCAAGCAAGAGTGGAAAGAGCAAATAGTACTCTTAAAATCCAATTATTAAAACAGAAAGAGGAGACGGATGTTATGTGTCACCTCAAAACAAATTCAGTCATGTTCTTTATACTTTAAATTTTTTGAATTGCGATGCAGAGGGTTGTACAGCAGCCGAAAAGCATCGGACCTCCTGTACAATAGCATTTGCAGGGTTAGTCCGATTGAAGGATGCACAAACTAGACAATGGTTTGGACCAGATCCAGTAATGATGTGGGGAAGAGGTTGTGTTTGTATCTTTCCAGAGGGAGCAGAGCAGCCAATTTGGGTGCCAGAGTGTTACGTACGTCACCACAATGGGCCCAAAGAGGCTCCTTGTCCCATCGTTCAAGACTGAAAGTTGCTCCGATGAGAGCAAAGCGGAAAAGAAGATGACGAAGGCTATGCAAGAGACCGAGGTGCCAACATGGGGTCAGCTGAAGAAGTTAACAACTGAGGCCCAGCAGATGGCAGAAAAACAAGAAGTGGAAGCTACTCCCTCAACCATGTTTCTGGCCATGCTAGCATTGGTTAGCTGCCAGTCTCCTGCAAACTCTTTCACAGCCAAGTCTGTGGACTCTTGAGTAAATCCATAAAAGAAACTTTCATTTAGTAGAAAAATGTTACTATAGATTGATTTCTCTATTATTGTTGTGTTGCATTGGCACTGTTTTATTAATAGTCATGTCTGGGTTTTGCATTTGCATTGTTTTGTTATTGGGTTTTGCACTGGCATTATTTTGTTAATGTTTTAATAGTCAGAACTTTGTTCTTGATGTTTAAGTTTTGCTTCCATTATTAGTAGCTTAAAATTGAAAGAAAGGGCAAGATGTAGGGAGTAGTTATAGGGTTAAGCCTCGGACTGACCTCTGGCAAAGTCGCAAACAAGTCTCAGCTTAGAGGGCACAGTTCTTGAAGCATAAAGCTTGATCTTGTGACTGCTCCCTAGATCTTTCCTGGGTCCATTCTTGGGTAGCTAGTGGGCTGTGGGAGGAGCAGCAAGTGCTGCCAAAACAAGGGAAACTTACAAGAACATTGTAAATTACCTTGTTTACCTCTGACTATAAATAAAGCATCAGCTTTACAGTCTGGATCTGTTCTGTGGCCTCAGCAAGACCCAGCTTATTCTCTTTGTCTTTTTCTTCATCCTTCACCAGCCCTCCCTCAGGCTCGCCAAACCCTTGGCTGTGTTGGCGCGGCACACTTAAGGGTTAGCAGCAATGTGGATTCTGAAACCTTATCAGTGAACATTTACTCTGTTCCACTAAAATTCATTGATATATCTTGCGTTTTGAATGAATTTTTTATTTATGCATAATTTTATATCCTCTAGAATATACTGGTTCACTGAATTCCAAATACTGACACATTTAATTATGCAATATCTAAAAATCACATTCATAACAAACTGACATACCTTGATGTGGGGCTGGGGGCACGAGAAGAGAATGTATTTACTTATATGCATAGCCCATGGACACGGGCAATAGGGTAGTGAAGATGTGGGGGGGGGGGTTAGGGCTAGAGGAGGGGGTAAATGAGGGGAGAAATGGGAGATATCTATAATACTATCAACAATAAAAATGTATTTAAAGTTTAAAAAATAAAAATAAAAATCATATTCATGTCCTGGCTGGTGTTGCTAAGTGGTTAAAGCATTGATGAACACACCAAAGGTTTGCAGGTTCCATCCCCAGCCAGGTGGCACAGGAGGCAACTAATCGATCTCTATCTCTCACATCAATGTTTCTCTTTCTCTCTTTCAATCTCTCTCTCTTCCCTCCCCCTCCCTCTCTTCCACTCTCTCTACAAAAAAAAAAAATTAAAAATTCAATGAATAAAATATCCTTGGGTGAGGATTAACAACAACAAAAATGCTTAAAAAAGTAAAAATCACATTCATTAATACTGCTACTACCAATCTCATCAGAATAGTATTTTAAGTATTTTTTAATATATTTTTATTGATTTCAGAGAGGAAAGGAGAAAGAGAGATAGAAACATCAATGATGAGAGAGAATCATTGATTAGCTGCCTCTTGCACATCCCCTATGGGTGTCCAGCCCACAACATGGGCATGTGTTCTTACCTGGAATCGAACCCATGACCCTTCAGTCCGCAGGCCGACACTCTATCCACTGAGCCAAAGCATCTAGGGCTCTTTAAGTCTTTATGTAAGTTATAAAGTTTACAATGGCAGATAAAAATTTTCTAAACTTTTAATTTTTATTTGAAAGCTCAAATTTTATCATTGGCAACAAATATTGTCATTTCTTTTCTTTGAAATGACAGGCTCACTGTCTGCCAAATGCCCGCTGAATAAACAGTTTATATGTCAGTCATTCTTTCAATTTAAAATGGTATTTCATGAAAAATGGCTAATAGTTTAGCTCGCAACTCAATCATACAAGTGCTTCTCCTCAAAATACATATTGTACTTCGGTATGCAGAAGAGATTTACTTGTACTTCCAATTTCATCACACAGAATATTAAAGACATATTTTAAAGGTTGAAATTTAATAAAACTAATGAGTTAATTTTTACTACCTCATTTTGGACATGCTTAAGGAAACTAGCATTCTTGTTTACTGCAGTGAAGAATACAATGACCACTAGTACAGTTTGGGTCCATTGTCCTGATTTGGGCTAAGGCACCAGCAGTTTTAACTATAACAACATTGCTTTAGCACCATCAGTGCAAATGCAAACACAGCGAAAATAGTACGCTCTGAAAATAATTTTGACCTTTGAGACCTCCTCAAAGGTTTCAGGGAGCTTCAAAGGGACCACAAACCATTTGAGAATCGCCAGTCTACAACTTCATGTTTTACATGGATTACCATATTAGTCCCCTAACTAGTTTTCCTGACTCTGGCCTCCCTCGTAGGTCGTACCATTTGGCATAACTAGATACAGCTTCCTACAATGTTCCTTTCAACATGTTCTGCCCAAACATTTTCAATGATTTCCCCACTGGATATAGGATAAAGTTCAATTCCTTAGTATCACATACAGAAACCTCTACAATCTCTTCTCACCCAACTTTCAAACCTTACTACCCACCACCACCTGACACCAACTGTTGTAAGTCAGTCAGTTAGACACAGTCTACACATCTCACAACTTTGCTTGAAATATTCCTATCAAACATTTCTTTTTATCAAATCTCAAATCCTATTCAACCTTCAAGGCACAGCTCAATACCCAAATACTTTATAATGCTTTTACTAATCACTTTGGTTTACAGTTTTCACTGCCCTCCAGGAAATATCACAGCAATTATTCTCTTCACACTATTATATACTGTCTTTGATAATTTAATTCTTGAGTTATTTAACTTAATGTGCTTTCCTTAATCCCCCAAATAGAGTATAAATCCCTGCAATACAGAAACCATCTGCTAAACTTTTAATCTTCTGCACTGCCTAGTGCAATGTAACGAACACAGTGGAAATGTCAATTTTTAAAAATGAGAGGAATTTGGTTAGATGAATGGTTCACATGGTCTGCGACGATGGTCTTTGAAGTCTTCCACGTGGACAGTAGATTGTTTTCTTAGAATTATTCATGTTTTCAATGGGAGTAATTATGCTATTTAATCAAATTTAATGTACTGGCATATCATGAAAAGCAACCCTCTCTTTCTCATTAATTCTGATGAGGATTTTGCAGTGTTAATCAAGGAAATGTAGAATAAATGACCCAAAGGACACCATGTAAGTGGTTTAAAAGGGGAAAGACGGCAATCACTGCTCTCGGTCAGCAAAGAGACTCCAATGCAGAGTTAATTATATTTGTAACATTGTATTTCCTTGAAAGAATATATAAAGCAAAAATGGTTAAAAATGATATTTGTTAATCTGAGACAGGTGCAAGGGTATAATGTTATTCTTTATACTTTTCTATGTTTGCTATCTTTTCAAATAAGGAAAAACACGTGTGGCACTTTGAAGCACATGTGGTGTGTCAATATACAGCACATACCACTTAAATGATACATGATGTTCTTCAATTTTTACTTACCAGTGTATCATCTTGCAATGAAGCAAAAAAGAAGCCATAGAGCAAGTTAATTTTCTCCTTGTGATCAATGAAGTCAAACATTGCAACCAGCCAACGATAAAAAAGTACCTATTGAGAGACAAATGTTTATCTTTAGAGAAATATGTGATACAGAAGAACTTAATTCCTCCCCTCCTCAGGGCTGTTTTAGAAGCCTCTAGCACAAAGCCGGTTGGTAGATTTTCTCTCTCAGTAAAAATTTCTGTTTGAACAGAATCCTTGCATCAAGTTATACTGTTCCAAAACCACAGCCTTTGCACGAAAGGCCAGTGTCATTACTCCATAAGTGGTTTGTCCTTGCCAGCCCTTAAGTGGTTCTGAAGGACTTATCATCCAAGTGTTTAAAAAAATTACCTTGGTGCTACCACAACACTTGCCAACACAAAGCCAGGAGACCGCCTTAACCACAGAATCTTCTGATATAAGAGTTGCTGGAATCATGCATCTCAATATCCGAGAGTTTATAGCACTCCCTGAAAAGAAGACAAACTCTAAATTAAATTGCATTTTAGTATCTTGAACCCTTTCTTTTCACTCTTGGTTCTAAAAATCTCACTTAATATTGAATGCAATAAAAAAAAAATATGAACAAGCTTTAACGGGTTTCGCTCGGTGGATAGAGCGTTGGCCTGCGGACTGAAGAGTCCCAGGTTCAATTCTGGTCAAAGGCATGTATCTTGATTGGGGGCACATTCCCAGTAGGGGCTATGCAGGAAAAAGCTGATCAATGTTTCTCTCTCATCGATGTTTCTAACTCTCTATGCCTTTCCTTTCCTCTCTGTAAAAAAATCAATAAAATATATTTTAAAAAAACATAAACATTTGACATCTTTTATCATCATTAGAAAAAAGTTCAAAAAATGTACCTTTACCTTCTAATATAAATTATAAAGCAAATTCTTTGGCTCTAATGTTTCTATTTGAAAAGGGAAGATGAGTTCAGGGTTTCGTTTTGGGGTGTTTGTCAATTAGAGAGTGGTGATGGTTACACAAATCTGTGAGTGTGTGTGTGTGTGTGTGTGTGTGTGTTTCAAAAACAACAACCAGGAATTGGGTACTTTAAAAGTGTGAACTTTATGGTATGTGAATTATATCTCAAAAAAATACCATAAAATTTCAAGGAGTATTCTTTTGTTACTATTATATTTTTAATGACATAATAGACTATGATTTATTTAAATCTACTGACAGACATCTTACATGGACTGCTAGATTTAAGAATAAATATATTTGTATACTCCACCCCCCCCCAAAAAAAAAGTGGAGAGGATAGCAGAATGAACAGCTATCCTTGGAATTAGATGTCAGTAATATTCTAAACTGTTCCAACTTTTCCATAATATTCTCTGGCTTCCACGATATCCTCTCATCTGGCAAGAGAAGTGATTATGCAAAGAGATTTGTATACAACCTATATTAAATTCTGCTTATTAAGGCTTTTAAGAATTAAATAGGTATCTCATTAATTTCTTTTGTATTTAAACATTGTTTTATTCACATTCTTGTGTGGTGAGCATAACCATTCAGTGAAAAAACACTATTCTTAACTTCTCACGCAAGTAGAATTCTCAAAAACATCTTGGATGCATGTGTCTTTAACCATGCTTCTGCTTAAAAGCCGTAAAGTGTGGCAAACACCTTCTTTCACTAGAATAATACTCTTCCCATCTTCTCCCACAAGTAGCATTCTTAGAAACATCTTACATGTTTTTAAACAATTTTATATGCATTATAGTATGGTGATCCCATCCATTCACTGAAATAAGCCTGTTCTTTACTTCACTTAGATTTCTAGATTTATTCATCCTAACTGCAACAATATATATCAATTTCTACATCATTCTGTGGAGAAGAAAGGAAGCAGTGATGGCAGATAATGAATCACAAGAATGAAAACCTTTGCTTTCCACTCTGTGGTTCCTTGTTTTTATTCCCGCCCCCCCCCCCCCCCCCCGCCGCCGCCCACTCCCATCCCCTAACCCTTCTAAAATTTAAAATAGCCTGACCACTAACACTTTACACATGAACCAAATTCAAAGGGCTTATTCAATACAGACTATTCTTATATCACAGTGACTTGGAAATTAACTTCTAGAGTCTAAAATTAAAGTCTCTTTGCACCTAATTATGACATTTGAATCACACCTGTGCCTGAACACACATTACAACTGAGCAAAAAGAGTTACATGTAAAGATCTGATAGTGATGGGGATGATCATAGATATAACTAAAAGGGGAAAAGAGCAGTTAAGGAAGCCACATTTGGCATCACCAAATTCCAGGTTAACAAAAAATTAAAAGTTAGACTAAAAAGCTAGATATCCTTTTTTTCCAATCATATATAGCCCAGCTGGCATGACTCAGTGGTTGAATGTCAACCTATAAATTAGGAGATCATGGTTCAATTCCCAGTCAAGACAAATGCCCAGGTTACCAGTTCGATCCCTAGTGTGGAAGAGGCAGCTGATCAATGATTCTCTCTCATCATTGATATTTCTATCTCTCTCTCTTTCTCCCTCTGAAATCAATAAAATATATTTTAAATAAATAAATAAATCATATATACAAGTTTCTAAGTCTGTGGCCTGCATTTTGAAAGAGGCCTGCATTTGCCATAAGGCCTGGCAAATATTAATTCCTGATATATCAAAAAAGAAAAGAGAAATTCCAAAGTAGAAAATATCTGTACATTCTATATATGTTTTAAGGCCAGAAGGTAAAGAGTGAATTGTTCTTAATAGACATTAATCAGTTAAACACAGATTCCTGGATAGTTACTAGAACCAAACAATCTAAAACCACTTATGAGAAAATGAGCCAATTTTTTTCAAATCTTTTTTTAAAGATATATTTTTAATATATATTTTTATTGATTTCAGAGAGGAAGGGAGAGGGAGAGAGAAATAGAAACATCAATGATGATAGAGAATCATCAACTGGCTGCCTCCTGCAAGCTCCCCACGGGGGACCGAGTCCATTATCTGGGCATATACCCTAACCAGGAATTAAACCATGACCTCCTGGTTCATAGGTTCACGCTAAACCACTGAGCCATGCTGTCCAGGTTAAGAGACAATTTTATTAGGTCAAATTTAACTTTATAGGAAAACACAGAAAACTAATCAAGTAAAAGCAAATAACTGAAATACCTGGGAGTCATACGTTGAATTCAGCTAGTAATATGTTGTTGCTTTACAATACACACAACCCTATAAGCATGATGCTAGGGTGGATACAAAAAAATACAATATGCAAGGACCAGGAAATGGTATACAAAATATCCAGTTTTGATAACTGTCTTAATTTTCAAAAACAAAACAAACAAAAAAAAAAACAGGTAGAAAAACTGATAGCAATAACCCTAGAAGGTAAGTTAGGAGGTCTGAATTCTCCAGTGATAGCTCTGACATTTAAGCAAGTCTCTTTAATGACCCTGGGCCTCAATTTCCTCACCTTTAAAATGAAGATGTACAGGGTCTAAAATACCTTTCAAGTCTAAATGTAAATATTTGAAAAAACTTTTCTCAAATAAAAAGAATACTGGCCAGATGTTATTTCTTTCTAAGAACCCCACTCCCTTGTCCATTCCAAATGAACTTAGAATAGGAAAGGAAGCATTTACATTTAAAAGCATCTTGACTGTTAAGGTCATGGATGATGGAATGGTGATAACATCAACAGGGACCTGTCATAGATAAGTAAACCTAAAGGCAATGAAGTAAACCATATTATATTGTAAAGTGCCTTTCAGCAACATTATTTAAATTATATGTATTCTTCTTAAGAGAAATACTGAAAATGCCTCCCATGTATTTCATAAGAAGCATCTATACAGTTTACTTGTAAAGATATGGGATAACTAGACATTTCAACATATGTACACAGAAACTTTTGGTTCATAAGGTTATTTGAATGTAAGAAATTACACTTTTTATTTTATAAAGAGAATAGTAAAAAAAAAAAAAAAAAAAAAAAAAAAGAACTGCAGCTGATTCCAAGGAACAACCCAAATCAAAGTCTGGGAGGCAAAACTAATAGCAAACTCATTTATCCTCTTTACATACCAAATTTGCCACTGAGTGCCACATTTAATAGGATGTCAATTTCTTCTGGAGCTAAACCATCCTTCCAAGCCACACTTTCCACAGTTTTCAAGTGTTTTTCCAAGGTTTTATCTTTACTCCGTGAAGTTTTAAAGGGACCTGGAAAAAGGAACCATATTAAATAGTGGGGCCTTTAAAATTCAGTCTCTAGCCTCAACAATTACAATCTGGGATACTTTATAGGAATAGCTTTATGCATAAATTATCTTCCTAAAAGCCCTTCAAAGCTTTTCAAACTCTAGAATATTTTCTTTCAAGGCAAATATCTTTACTCTTGCAGAAGGGTGTGCACACACATAGTATGGGAGCACACACACACTGAGCAGGCATCTGCTAGGGCTTTTGTTCCTGTCCCTTACTCTTGATTGGAAGAGTTTAGGCACGCAGTATTGCATGATCGGCTAATTTAAAGGAAGGAGTTGACCTTTGCCATTTCAAAATGGCAGCCTCCAGAGGAGCTGCAAGCCATGGAGCCCAAATGGTGGCTGCCTAAACTCCCTTCTTTGACAGAAAAGATTACTTGGTTATTCTCACAATTCCCCCTTTTCTTATTTAACTCTTTTCTTCAAACAGGGCTAACATTCATTGACTTTCATGCTCTGCAGTGTCTAGGAGAAGATTATTTTTCTGTTTGGTCAATGAGGTTTCAACTAACCTTTAGATAAGACCGCTCATACATGAGAGTGATATAATATCCCACCATTGTCATTCCCTTCTATTCTGTGAACCATGCTAAATTGGAGAAAGAATCCTCAATTTAAGAATTCTCAGCTAACTCATTAGCTAAAGCTGTCAATCCCTGTGGGGCCTCAATGATGGTTCCGATTGGCTATGCTGTCAGATGAATGTATACCACTGACCCCCAACATTACACATATTAAGGCCAACCTATTCTCCCAGGTCACCCTGCTGGTGGCATCTAGTTGTTCAGCTATCCCTTTAACTGCATCTGGAGTATAGTTAACAAGCTTTTGCTGGTTATAGTAAATATAATTTATCCAATCCACTTTCTTGTTCACAGTGAACCACCAGAACAGGTCAGATTCTAGCCCTGCAGCAATCTGATTAGCCTTAAACTCATTTGGCACTCCTCCTGGAATCCCAATGGAATCTGTGTATAAATGGAGAGCCCCTTGGACTCTCTCTTTTTCCTAATCTGTCAATCCATTGAGAAAGGTTTATGATTTGCCCAAGTGAAAAAGATAGCCAATTTTATCAGAGTGCAAGGTCCACTCCAGATGCTGGGCAAGGCCACAAGACAGGGTCCTCCATACCACCACCAAACATCAGCACGATTGGCTTCTGAAGATACTCAGCCATTTATGCATCATATTAATTTCCCATAAACTCCAAGTACTCTTCCCCCCACACCTTAAGAGGCAGAGGTATAGTTTACATTGGAGAATGGGGGCCAGATGGTTTTGAGGGACCCTTGCTCTTTACCTCAAGGAGAGAGGAGAGAGTCTTACAGGAAGCGTTTCCCCAGGCGGTTTCCTCCTGACACAGGGCAAGCACACATTCCATCCAGTTACTGTCTAAGGTCCATCTGAATGAAAATGGGACCACTTGGCCTCTAGCCTTCCTGCCATGCAAGTATAACAGAATATTTAATCCATTCCCCCCAGGCATTCTCTCCCTTATATCCTACTTCTATTTGCATCATGGTGGTAGTGGCCTAGGGGATGGAACTCTAAGATATTTAACAGCAATAGCACCTTCAGTGAGGAAAACTAAATCATGCCTTGGCATCTCTGCTCTAAACTAAGTAAAAGCACTAATTTTACACTATAAGTTGTTCCAGTACGAGGGTATGATTCCCAAACTTTGAAATCACCTTAGGAGCCTTTACAAAATTCCAATTCCCAGGTTGCATCCCATACCAATAAAATCAAATTGTCTTAAGAGTTGATGCCAAGTATCAGTGTGTTTTAAAATTTTTTGGATGATTCCAATGTGCAGCAGTTTGGCGACCGCTCTGCCAGGAACGTGCTTTGCTGTTGTATAACTAGTACCTAGCATACCGGTATGTAGTAAGAGCTCAATAAATGTCTATTAAGCAGCGAAAAGCATTAATGAGCAAAAATATGCTCTCCTTTAAAATTTCACAGCAAAGAAGTCTAGAATATTTGATAGAAATAGGACTTTCATAAGGAAAACCATCTGTCTTACCTTTCTCAAAGTATCTTACTGCTATTTGCAGAGCATCTTCTGCTTGCTCATCACCTTGTTCAGAATCTTCCACTGGACTGTTTTGTTCATGTTTTGAGAAGCTCTTTGGGTTGCTTAGGTCCTCGTTCAGTTTCCAAGCCAAGAGATTAGTCTGATAACTATTATTATGTTGTGAAGTTCTTGATGTCTGAGAATTCTTAATTCTCTTTTGAGTTGACATTACTGCACATGTTCTATACAGAAACAAGTGTCATTACCATTAACCAACCAAACTGTCCCATTCTACTCCACAAAGACAAGGACCACATCTGAATGTATTCTAAACATTTAGTATATAGTACCTAACATACAACAAGTACATCATAAAAAAAAAACTGACAAAAATCTGGACAACAAAATTTATAGGTTAGCTTTCTCAGAAAGCCTTTGACCTAAGTAGAAATAGAGACAACTCTCCAAGTTAACACTGACCAGCTGAACTGGCCTTCCTGAAGAAAAATAAAACAGTAAGAGTACAGGCAACAGCCAAAACCGGTTTGGCTCAGTGGATATAGCATCAGCCTGCGGACTGAAAGGTCCCAGTTTGATTCCGGTCAAGGGCATGTACCTTGGTTGTGGGCACATCCCCAGTGGTGTGCAGGAGGCAGCTGATCGATGTTTCTCTCTCATTGATGTTTCTAACTCTCTATCTCTCTTCCTTCCTCTCTGTAAAAATCAATAAAATATATTTTTTTAAATTATTTTTTAAAAAGGGTATGGGCAACATAGCAATTCTCTTAAAATGGCTATATCAAATAAGTGTGTCCAAAATTAAGCCATCTCATGAACTCAATATTACTTTCTCCAATCACTCCTATTTTTCTCCACCTCTCCTTAACATTATTTTCATCTTTTATGTTCCCTACTTTATCAGTGCTAAGTTAAAATTGCAGTTCAAAATTCAAACTGGTGTGCAAACTAAGAATTATCAGAATAGAAAAATTCCCCATTAATTAACTCACTTATTCAACATCATCTATATTCCAAGCACAGTTCTAGCTACCAGGGATAAGATAATAGTCAAGGTCTCTGTTCTCATGAAACTTATGGGGGTGGGGAGAAGTGTGAGAGTCGATAAGTATATAGCTAATAGTGAACATAACACACAGTGATGTGATAGAAATGAAGTAGCAGTGAGAAACTACTTTGGAATAAGTGTTCACAGAAAGCCTCCCTGATTGACCTTTAAACTGACTTTTGTATGCCAAAAAGGAACCAGCTATGAGAAGCTGTGCCGGAAGAGTATTTCATGGAAAAGCAAGACTAAGACTTGCTAAGACCTTGAAGCAAGAACGTTATCTGTTAGGAAAACAGTAGCAACACCAGTGAGGGGGGGGGAGTTAGTGAGATCAAAGAGGCAGAGGGTAGTGGGAGGTGAGGTCAGAAAGGCAGCCAGGAACTACCATACTGGGACTTGTATGCTAGAGTAAGGAGTTTGGATTTTAAGTGGCAGCTATCCGGGTAGAGAGGAGTGTTAGAGAGGGAAGTAATATCATATGATTTATGTTTTAAGGCCACATTAGCTGCAGTGTGAAGAACAGAATGCTAGACGTCAAGGAGTGGAAACAGACCAATTAAAAGGGTTTTGCAGCACAGTATCCCACTGTGTAGATGTACCAGTTTTTTAATCCACTCATCTGATGATGGGGACTTAGGCTGTTTCCAAATCTTAGCTCTGGTGAATTGTGCTGCTATGAACACAGGGGTGCATATATCCTTTCTGATTGGTGTTTCTGGTTTCTTGGGATACAGTCCTAGAAGAGGGTACTGGGTCAAATGGGAGTTCCATTTTTAACTTTTGAGGAAACTCCATACTGTTCTCCACAGTGGCTGCACCAGTCTGCTTTCCCACCAGCAGTGCAGCTATAAAAAAGAAGGAAATTTTACCATTTGCAACAACATGGATGGAACTGGAGAGCATTATGCTAAGCGAAATAAGCCAGTGGGAGAAAGATAAATATCATACGCTCTCACTCCTATGTGGGATATAATGATCAACATAATTTGATGAACAAGAACAGATCCAGAGACAAATGGTGAGGGAGAGGGGGGAGAGAGCAACCAAAGGACTTGTATACATATTAGCATAACCAATGGACACAGACAATGAGGCGGTGGTGGCTTGCCCAGGGTGGGAATGGCTTGGGGGGGGGGGTCAATTGGGGGAAAAGGAGACATATGTAAAACTTTAGACAATAAAAAAGGGTCTTGCAGAAGTCCTGAAGAGATATAACTGTAGCCTGAACTAGGTCTAATGTACAGCGGTGAAAAAGGTAGAAAATGATTGTGATTTATGTTGGAGGCAGGCTGGGCAAAGCCATGAAGTAGGGAGAAGGAAAGAGAGGAACCCAGAAGACTTCTAAATTTTTGGCTTCAAATGACTAAAACTAAGGGAATGGTCAGAATGACAATCCCACCTCCCTAAAACAGATGAGGCCGGAGCAGGAGAGCAGTATGTGTGTCTAATCCTGTGGGAGATTCCATATTGCGAGTTGTTTCCTATATTCCTACCACAGAAAGGCAAGCGAACAGCTTTTCAGACCCACCCGGTTGACGTAGCTTCCGCAGGCGCCCCCCAACCCCTCCGCTTCCCGGGCTCCGGGAAAGCCCGCCCCCAGCCCCACCTTGCAGGGTCGTCCTGCTCCGAAGTCAAGGAGCTTCTCTTCGATCTCGGAGTTGCCCTTTCACGCGGCATTAAAAGCACCTTACCTAACACATTCCTCGGTCCCCGAACCTCCGGAGTTCAAACACCCCCCTCAGGATTCAAACTAGCGGGCCCCGCCCTGCGCGCACTCTTCCGCGCAGGCGCAGGATGCGCCGGGCAGCGGGCCGCGTGGTGCTGAAATCTGATTGGTTGGCTTCAGCACAGCGCGCGCGCGCGCGCGCGCGCCGGCGCGGCTGTGACGTAGACACAGACGCGGACCCGATTCGGGGGTGTCGCCGGCCCCGCCTGCCAGGCCCCAGGAACTTGTGGTGAGTGGGCCGTTGAGGCTGGAGCAAACTGACTGGCTGGCGTCTCAGCTGTCCTAACAACGTTCACATTCTTTATTTTGCGCGAAACCGATCAGCGTCTGAATTCTTGAACTTAACAAGATTAATTCTAGAGATGCTTTTACCCAGATTGACTCCAAATGTCGGGACTTGGCGGGAAAATATGAAACTGCAAACTGCAGTAAGGACTAACTCTCCTATGCGGGGCAAGAGACAGGTTAAAGGGTCTGTGATCTCTAAAGCTGTCACTTTCTCTATGTGAAACTAGGTGGAAAGGGGGGTTAAAAAAAAAAAAAAGGCTGAATCTACCCTCCTTGTACCGAGGATAGGTACCCATACCTTCCAGAGTTTATTAAAAACGTGTCCTGGGCTAGATGTGGCACCTTGCACATAACCAGCCAGGTCTACGCATAAAAATTCCTAACTTTGAGGAGTGATGGACCTTAAAGAAATTGGCTAAAATAGCAACAAGGCTAGTGTGAGACCTGAGCTTAGTCCCTAGTTTAATCTCTTACTAGAGTAGGAATCAGAGAGGAAAGATATCAATTTAACAGCTCTCGCTGATTTTTTTGAAGTCAAAACGTATCTATAAACTGTAGGTAAAACTGTAGGAGGAAACTTGGCTATTTTAGGGAGAAATGGAGAATTAAAAGTTAAGTTGATGTATTAGGGAGATTACAGCAGAAATGACTGTTGACCACATTTTATATTTGTATGGCTTTTCAGAGCACTTTACTCATTAATAATGCATGAGAAATGAGAGTTCATTATTTTCATGGTAGCTGTTCTTCCTTTTCTACTAAAACTGAACATTCCTCAAGAGTCATTTTAATCATTTCATAGACTCAGTTGTAAATTGGAAGGGATTTTAAGCTTTCAATCCCCTTTCTTTTTTATAGGTGATGAAACTGGGGCCTTGAATGAGGAAATAACTTGGCTAATGTGACAAGTCGTGGCACTGGAACTTGTGCCACATTGTGGACACATATAGTGAGAGAAACTAGTTCACCTTTATTTAATATACCTGCAATTTTCTCTGAAACCATTCTTCCACCTTCCCCTGGCATCACCTAATGAAGCAGAATTCCCCAAACCTAGAAATTGCATTGAGTTCCTAAATCTATAGCTTTCTATCACAGAGGTTTGTTAAAATATTTATTGAGGGGTTTGTTAAGAGGTTTATTCTGTCTTCATTAGACTGGGTTGGTAAAGGAAGGAACCTAAATGAGATTGGAAAGTTGGTAATCTCATTAATATATTAATATATTCTCTTTCTTCTCCCTTATCCAGGCAAAAAAAGAGCCCAAATCTCTTGATATGACCATTTCCAGACTTCCATCATTTGTCTCAACAGTTTCCTCCAAATTTCAATTTTTTTATTTTGAAAGAAAGAGAGAAATAAGACAGAGGTATCAATTAGTAAGAACAATGACATTGAAGAAATACAATAATTTACTCCACACACACAAAACACCCCATCCCTTCTCCCATCCCTGGCACAATATCAAAACCATCAAAGCACATCTAACAAGAAGAAACACCAGTATGTAATGAAGAAAGCAAATTTTCATACTGCTGGATCCAAGTAACCCTTATCAAATGTCCTTCCCTCAGCTAAACTCCACCCACTGGAATAATAAAGAACTGTAGAGGTGACAACATTGCAGGTAACTTAGATCTCTGCTTACACTAGCAAAGTTCAGTGAAAATTCAACAGGAGTAGTGAATCTATTTGTCAGGGAAACACTGGGTACAACTCTTCAGTCAAATTTCACATGATTTAAGAGAACAATTTGAGATCCACAGACTTCTAACAGTACAAATCACTGCTCCCTCAGCCACAGCAGTGGAGAAGCTGCCAAATCCTGATTAGCTGCTGAGGATAATGGAAGCGAGGCAGCTTTGGGCTTAAGAAAATTAACAAAAACACACGTTTACTGCTTCTGCTTCAAACTGTGAGCTTAGTAGGTTGGGCTTGGACAAAAGCAAGGTGAAACTTACAATTTCATCACTTGAAGAACTAGATTATCTATTGACTGCATATATTCCTTACTTTAATTAAATCAATATGAAGTATTTAAAATTTAAACAACTATTAAAAGTAGAGGCTAATTAATTTTACATATAACTCAGTGCCTTAAATTGAAGGACCTTTTTCTTAAAGTGGTAGGTTTACGTTTTCAGTTTAATCTATCAAGGGATTCCTCCATCCCATTTATATTATATCAAAAGTAGGTTCTCTTTATAGTAGGTTTATTTTATTCTGTCTTCATTAGACAGGATTTGTAAAGGGAAGGATACCTATGCAGGATTAGTTCAAGATCAGAGCCTTCTCCACGTGTGCATGCAGATACATAGTAAATATATTTTCCCACACATACAGTCTCGCAGTCACATGCTTGCTAGAGTCCATCTCACAAAAACACTTCACTAGTTAGCCATATACATGTACATGCAGCAAGATGTGAGAGTTGCCCCAGAGTGATTAAAGATGGTGCACATACGTCTGTCTATGTGGGGAGGTCATTTTAGGGTATAGGTGTACACAAACCAACAGGGCCATTAACTTGTAGCTTATATTTTCCCTTCCCTCCAAGATAAATAAAGCAAATGAAAAACACACTGACATCTTCCTGGGTGTCATGGAGGCAACTGCCTGGAAGGTCCACTTTTTGCACTTTCACTTTCCTAAGACAACTTCACTTTGGCCTGAGGGGCCTTCTCATATAAGGAGGGCTGCTCCTCTGCTTTCCCCGCATTTCCTACGTTTCCTTGGGGTGAGAACTTCTTCTCAGAAGACCGGTCTTCAGGCTTTCGGGCAATCAGCAGACGGCAGGTGAGTAGGATTCCAAACACCAGGGCATGGGCATAGCGTTTGAGAGGATCACCGACTAGCTGATGGAAGAAGAGCACAACCAACACCAGCAAAAGCAGGAAGAAGTTGGCCACATCTTTGGGACGTCCAGGCACAAGGGTCATGACAATGCCACAGGCCACCTCAAGCGCACCAATGCTTTTACGGAGGAGAATGGAATTGATCCCCATTTTCTTCAGCAGAGGAAGTGCTCGGACATAGGTCTTGTAAGCACGTTTCTAAAGTGGAATACCATAAGGAAATCACCGCATTAACTATGAAGTTAATACAAGCAAGGTCCTCCTTCCCCACCATTCCCTTTCCACACCAGCCAAGGGTATCCCATTTTCCTTACTGTTGCCCAAAACAAAAGCCTTGTAATGAAGATAAGAAGGAAAGCAAGCAATCTGCTGAGATCCCTGTAATTTAAATGATTTAAACTGTAGTAACAGCATGGAAGGTAAGAGATTTTGGCTTTATAGTTTAATTTTTTCCTAATTATAAATAATAAACAACATTAAGAATTTAAAAGAAAATTCATCAGGCCCATAAAAACTGGTACAGATTAGCCACATCCACAAGTGCCCACCTTGTCCAAACCCAGATGTATCTGAATATTAACAAAAATGAAACAAGGCAAGGCACTGTATGGTAAAGCCTCACTAATTTGGACTTCCCTAATTTGAAATCCATGATAATCAGAAATTTCAGCTGAGTTGGAGTTTATATGTGACCTTGGTTTAAAAAAACAGTGTATGTGTGCTAAAGCAAGTAGAAAATTGAAATGTATGTAAATGTCAGCCCCTTGTGTATCTTTAAAATATAAGACAGAAATTATTCTCATGGTCATTGAGATAAATCCCCAGGCCTTTACAAGACACTCCTTCGATTAACTTGGTTCAACTTCATTAATTCAACAAATATTTATTGAACACCTACTATGGATTATTCGATGGAGATATACAGATGAATAAGACAGGGTCAAGAAGCTCTTGGTCTAGTAGGGGGAAAGAGATACATAAAGAGCATTATAAAGCAGCACGGTTAGCGGGCATATAACAGAGGTCTGCACAATGTCTAATAGTAGCCCAAAAGGAGACATCATAGGAGAGAGGAGGTAGTCACTGGATATATTACAAAGTAATAGAATTTTATTGACCTTAGCCTAATATATAATTATATTTTTCACTATTCATAGTGGCCTGATCCTCAGAGTAAATTGATGAGATTTTATTGTGTCTTATTGGGTTGGCCCACTGCTTTGTTTTCATTAAGTATCCATTTGTTCATTCAATATTTACTGTCTCCTTATTGCTAGGCACTGGACTAGGTATCTGGATAGAGATATCAATTATTCAAAGGCCCTGCCTTCCTGAAGATTGAGTTTATAAGACAAAGAATAATTATGCAAATACATAACTGCAATAACGTATTATGGGTGAGATCGGTTCATGTGGCTCAGTGGTTAAGCATCAACCCATAAACCCAAAGGTCATTGGTTTGATTTGATTCCCACTCAGGGAACATGCCTAGGTTTCAGGCTCGATCCGCAGTAGGGGAAATGCAGGAGGCACACGATCTCATCAATGTTTCTATCTCTCTGCCTTCTTCTCCCTTCCTCTCTCTAAAAATCAATGAAAATATTTTTAAAGTATTATGGGTGCTGAATAAAATTATGTAAGTGGGTACAGTGGAGGTACATCTAAAGAATGGTCAAGTCTTCCTAGATGAGAAAAGCTAGAGTAGGAACTTAAAAGAACAATTGTTTGCAAGATCAATAAAGAAACTGTATTGCAGGCAGGGGAAGCTGGATGAGCAAAGGCCCTGAAAAACAGACTGGTATATTGTGCATACTGCCCCAGTTCAGCATAGGTTGGGGGAGGGAGGGGAGACATGAAATTGGAGAGTTAGATATGAATCAGATCACATATGTTGTGTTATGGAGCTAGACTATATCCTGTAATCCAAGGGGAGCAATATAATTTGCTTGTAAGGAAACCTGGTAGGAAGCAAGGAAACCACGTAGAGACCTGGACTAGAGTAATGACAGTAAGGATTGAGGGAAGGGAACAGAGTCAAGGATACTTTGGATGCAAGATCGTCCAGTAAGAATTTGATGTCTTACTGGATGTGGACACTGAGGGAAAGAGAACACAATTTTCTGGTCTCTGGCTTGGGTGCCTGAGGTCAAGAAGGAGTAAGGAATTCAATTTGGGTTTTTCTAAGATGAAGTATCTCTAAGACATCTAAGTGGAGATGTTTGGTAGGCAGTCAGTAAGAGAGGTCTGCAGTAAAAATACAGAATGGATAATCATCAGAATGTCCAGGTAGAATGTGTACAGTGGGAAAAGTTGTGTGACACACATTTAAGAAATGGGGAGAAGAAAAGTGTCCACAAAGTAAACAGAAGAAAGTATGGTCAGAAAAGTATGAGGAAAACTAGCAGAGACAGGGTCATGGGGGCCAAGAGGAGTTTTAAGAAGAGACTAGTCAAATGAACATTCAGAAGTAGAATTGTTGGATGATGTGGCAGTTCTATTTTAATTTTTTTATTAACCTCCATATTGTTTTCCATAGTGGCTGAACCAATTTACAATCCCACCAACAGTGAATAATAGGTCCCCTATTCTCCACCCTTACCAGCAAAATAAAAACACTAATTTACTAATTTGAAAAGGTATATGCACCCCTAAGTTCATTTACAATAGCCAAGCTATGAAAGCAACCTACGTGTCCATCAATAAAGGGATGAGATGTCACATTCTCTCTCTCTCTCTCTCTCTCTCTCTCTCTCTCTCTCTCTCTCTCTCTCTCTCTCTCTCATTACTCAGCAATATGAAAGAATGAAATCTTATCATTTGAGATAGTGTGCTTTTTTGCTAGAGGCTATTATGCTAAGTGAAATAAGTAAGTAAGATAGAGAAAGACAAATACTATATGATTTCACTTTTATGTGGAACAGAAACAGACTCATAGATTTGAAGAACAAACTGAAGGTTGCCAGGGGGGAGGATGTGGAAAGATGGATGAAAAAGGTGAAGGGGAATAAGAGATACAAACTTACAGTTAAAAAATAAATAAGTCTTGGGAATATAGAACAGGAAATATAGATAATAATATTGTTAATAACTTTGTACAGTGAGAGATGGTTACTACATTTATTGTGCTGATAAATTATAAGGTATAAAATGTAGAATCACTATGTTGTACACCTAAAATTAATATAATTTTGTATGCCAATAATACTTTAATAATTTAAAAATTAAAATGGAAAAAGGAAGATATTAGTCAAAAGCACCAGATGCAAGACAAGTATTGTAAGAATTGGGCAGAAAGCCAACTTGACCTCTCAGAAGCATCTGGCACTTAGAATAGTGTTCACACTTTCTAGGTTTTGAACAAATGTTAAGTCATTTCTCTGACATCTGGACGAGTGAATGCAACATTATTTCATGAGTTAATTACCATGAGTAGTACAAGATAACCCCCTATGTGGACTGTTAAAAGACAGATGTTATAATTTAAAAAACATGGATTTAGATTCAAACAGGCTTGGGTTCAAATCCCATCCCTGCCTCTTTCTAGTTGAGTGTCCATTGGCAAATTATTTGAGCTCTCTGAGTCTCATCTTCCTTAATAGGGCTGTGACTAAGGTTAAGTAAGTGAGGCTATTTGCCTTGAATACAAAATTTAAGAGAGTAGCAAAAATACTAATTGATTAAGGTAAATAATATCCATAACAAACAAAATGTCAAAATTTTAAATAAAGGTGGGATCCAACTCTACATTTGCACAACCCTGACTCACTCACCTCCTCCTAATCCCATTCCTGTAGATCCCATCTTTATTTACAATTTCACTTTATCGGAGTCCCTACCGTGCTCCTGAGCATATAAGAAAATACAAAATGTTAGTCAGTCTTCCTTCCTCTTTCAATTTTAGTTTAAATTGGGGATTTTCAGAGAGAAACTATGACCAATTAGGCAGAGTAAAACCCTGGGCTGAATTGAGCCAGATCCACAAGGAACAGAGCAGAGCTGAGAGTTAGGTTACCTGTTGGTGAGGAAAAACCTTCCAATTGTCCCTCTATTAATTTAGATACCTGCCCACTCTCTCCCCCTCTGTATTCTGGTGACTGCAATAGGGGGACATTAGAAAAAGAAATCCAGACCCAATAGGTTTGCTTAACACTTTTAAGTAAAGACTATTTCTATTAGTTACACAAAGCTCCCCAAGAGGCAATTCCTACATTCTGAGGGTAAGCTTCTGGAATGTTGAACACAATAGCAAAGAAGAGTTTCTTACCATCATTTTAGAATCAAAACCTTCCCAATGCTGGCTGAGTGGCTTCTGCAAAGTGCTCCTTTTTTTGGTTAGGGCTAACCACCCATTATTCAATAATTCTGATCTATACTATAGTGAAATCTCTATCCTAGGGCCAAATTCTGGGCCTTTAAATCATGTCCCTGTGACTTCAGTGATCTTTTTTCTCTCTATTGGTATAACTCCATATTACTTTTTCAGTGATTTATCTAACCTCTTAAACTGCAACTATGAATATTTTTATGCAGCTGTTGCCTCTATTTCCTCCTTACTCAAGAAGAAACTGTATTTGGATAAGTTATGTCATCAAATCATTAGTTCAAATCTGAATAGGTACAGACAGCATCTATTCTCCAAGACTCAAGACAGGGAATACTTAATTTGTTAGAAATAGAACTAAGCTTAGATAGGGTCTTGATATCATAGGAAGCCTTTTATTCTTTTTTTCTGTATAATAGGATGGAGACATCAAAAGATTGCTAGTCCCATCAATGTTTAGTCCAGGCCACCTCAATTCTAATCTACACTAATAAAAGAGAAAATGCAAATTGACCATACCTTCACTATATCCACCAGCCAATCAAGAGTGAGTATGCAAATTAACACAACAAAGATAGAGGATTAATTTGCATACACAAGCGCTGAGCAGCCAGGGGCATTCCACACTGCCTCAGCCACTCCAGGCCTCTGGGCAGCATGGGAAGGCAGAAAGGCAGCTCTGGCCTGAGTGAAGCAGTGCCGGCAGCCAGGGGAAGGAAGGCCCATTCTTGCACGAACCTTTGTGCATCAGGTCTCTAGTATTAATAAAGAGGGTTGTTGTAAGAATAAAGAGGGTTGACTCACTGACTCTCCCAAAAGACACTTGCAATTCACCTTGTTAGGTACATTTCCTTTCCATTACAATGACCCAGACACT